CCAGTATAATATAATGGATAGAGTAGCAGTTCGTAGCCTTATTTGGACCATTTGGCTGTGGTGATGGCAGAGGCCCGTCCGTTGTCATGTTGGATGAGCAATTTTTTTTGTCAAATGAGGACGTCGAATCAGCAAGTAAGTACTGAGTTATTGTGAGTATTCCATGCATGGTAAGATCACGTGGTCTTTTGAGATGCCTGCTATCTTAGTTATCTCGCGTTTCTGTAAATGTTTCTTGCGTCAATGGTGCCGTCGCGCGGTCAGGCTACGTACTTGTTGTACCGCCCTCGTTTATATATTGTGTATATATATATATGTATATATATGCTATTGCCTGTTCAGACCCGATAAGTTTAATTAGATTAAGTGGACCATCATCTAACTTCAGAATTTTATACCCTTGCAAGATATTGTTACACAGTATAATAGTTTTGTATACTTAACGGTTAAAACTAATCGATACAGATATAGGGTTATAGATTCATATATAAATGATCAGGATGACGAGACGAGTTGAAATCCGGATGTCTGTCTGTCCGTCTGCCTGTGCAAGCTATAACTTGAGTTATTTTAATGAAACAATTCCTTGGCAAAAATACGACCATAACTAAGCCGCAAATTAAGATATAAAACTGTACTTTGGCACAGGGGATCACAGTAGCAAGAAGCACTTGTGGACTGAGAATTGTACATATTTCCTAAACCAATTAAGGTACAAAAATCCAAATCCGTTCTGACAAATTCCTTAAGCACCCCTACCGACACTGGAAATCGGGTGATCACGCTCTACTTCCCATATAACACATCTTTAAATTCCATCTGATTTTTTTACTTTCCAGTGTGCAAATCAAGCACCAATGAATGTAATGGGATAAAACTTTGTTGTACTTTAAGAAAATAATAAAAATTAAGTTACATCAACAAAATAAGTTACATAATTTGCTTGTTGTACTAAGATGTTATTACACATTTTTGGCTTTAATGAAAATGTAACATGCTTACATTTTAGTTCGTTTACATTCATTCGTCAGTTGGTTAGCCATTCTTCGACAAAAGATAAATGTTCCTCTAGTACCCGTGACGGACATTTACTACGACATAATAAGGTTATTCTTATTACCTGTTATATCTGCTGCATATAAGATATGTATTTATTACCTACTTTAACAGTAAATTTTGTTTTGATAAAACAAGACTCCAATGTTTTGTGCAATTCAAACGGGAATATGGTTTTAATTTCATATAAAAAGCCTTCATGCGACACCTTAAGAAATGCTTGGGATATATTGCTAACGAATGCCTTTCTGATTTCGTTAGTTATGTTATGCTTTTTACTTGCTCTACAGTTTTACACGAAACCCGCATTCGTACGTTGGAATTATATTATTTTCGTGTAGGAAGAAACCTTTGATAGTAACTAATTTTCAAATATTTTAGATACAGGGTAGGAGGCTTATTGGTCTGTAAGAAGACGGCTGTGTTAAGTCTTTCCCTGATGACAGAAAACATGATGATTTGCGACTAGTTCCATGAGTTTAGATAATATCCGAATTTGAAAATTGCATTAAAAAGCAAGAAAGACACTACTACTGCAATATTTGATGATTTCATTAGCATTTTTGGAGTAATTTCATCATGTCCTGTCGACTTTTTTGAATTAATCTCTTTTATGATCATTTTATCGTTAGATTATTGTCTCTGTGTATCCCCAGCCTTTAAAGCCTGAGTTGGAGTAGCTTCCACGGCTCACAGTGTTGCTTTGCAAAATGCAAAATGCAATCTTACTGTACGTAAGACTTCCTAGTAAACTACGTATGTTTAAATTTTTTTACGCAAAAAATTAGCTGTAAATTGTTTATAAAAAAGTTTAAACAATAAAAGAGTCCTACTTAGACACTACTAATCAAGCCATCTTGTGGCTAATAAGTCCGCAATAGATGGTCCACACGTGGGCACTTGAAGCTCAACCCGGCAAAATGATCTTAAGTCTGCATCAGCCAAATGGTATTCATATGCAGAAAACAACCACCTTTTACTCGCAAACATTCACTCACCATAAAGCTGAGCTCATGACTAATAAAAAGCATTTTATCGAAAACTATTTCTCCGTCCACTTGTAAATATCTCTTATTATGTTTAGCAGTCTCTAGCAGTGACAAGTAGTTCATACCACCACTCCTTACGGCAAAGTAATCACATCAAATTCCAAATTATCCGTATCTTTCCAAGCCAGCTGAAAATCAGGGCATGGAACAGTTTCAATAAAAAGCTTCATAAAATCCAATTATTATTCCACAACTAATAGATTGATAACATGGGAACCTTCGAAATTGACGTCATACGAGTATGTGGCAACATTTATAATCCTAGAATTATCGTGTCTCTACGTTGTTTGGTTTGGAACACGAAACACAGACAATGAGGGATTACTGAATGTATACATTGTGAGTTCTGTTGACTGATGGAGCTCTTTGGCTATAACGGTGCATTTTGCGAATTCACATATGATAATGCTAACAGAAATGGACTTTAAATAATACATTACCAGAAGAGCACGTTTGAATTCAAATTTAAAAATGAACAAGTAAGGAAGGGCTAAGGGCAATACACAAAAGTACAGTTCGAGTTTAACCGAACATTTCATACTTTTGCAACTTGCCAGGATCAAACCCAGTGACATACCTTCATAAGGTTTGTTAGAACAACGAAAATCAATATATGTAGTATATGGTAGTTGGCGAAATTTGTGGACCATTTTCATATATTTTCCCTATTCAACTCTAGTATATCCAATATTATACGTTCAGTCAATTTTGGTAAGGTACCATACTTATTAGCCGATATATGCGATATAAAGTCAGCCAGTAATTCGAAAACATTTCTATTAGGTATATCGGGGCTAACGGAATTATTGATCCAATACAACCCATTTTTGATATACAGACATATTTTTATCAGAAAAGGATTTTCTTCGTAATTCTATTGTATGTATGTCTCACAGATTGACCGATATTTTCTATAAAATGTTCGCTGTAACTGGGGTCCACACATTCTTTATCTGGGGTTAGAATAGTTTTAGTCTAATTGGACAATTTTTGGTAATAAGGTGCCGCACCTCAAAGGCACTATTCGTGCAAAGTTTTTGCCCGATACATTCGTTGGTGTTTGATTCGCATACTGGGAAGTGAAAGAATCAGATAAAATGTAAAATTGTGTTTTATGGGAAGTAGGCGGGGTTGCAGTCCGATTTCGCCCATTTTTGCACTGTGACATAGACATAGGAATGTGAAGATAATTGTATTATTATCAGAAAAGAATTTTCTTCGTAATTCATTCCGACAAATAAGCAGCTTTTTAGTGGGGAAAGGACAAGTGCAAAATTTCAGTTCGATAACTTAAAAACTGAGGGACTAGTTCGTATATATACAGATACACAGACGGACAGACAGACGGACATGGCTAAATCAACTCAGCACATCATGCTGATCATTTATGCATATTTTTTATAGGGTTTCGGACGTTTCCTTCTGGGTGTTACAAACTTCGTGACAAACTTAATATACCCTGTTCAAGATATAATAAAATGTTAAATCAAATTTTATTATCAATACACAAAAGTACATTTTATTTAAATCTTCATTCAAGGTGTATGGATTTTACAAAATATTATATTACAATCTTAATTCCTTTTATGTATATTTTAGCCATTTTGTTCTTTTACAAATGAGCTAATGCTTTATAAATATACATACATATGTATGTATAAGTAAATATATTGTGTTTCTGATTGAACATTATAGAGCGTGTGTGTTGCAACATCTTTTACATGAATTTGAAAATGCTTCGCAGCATTTGTGTGGCTTTTACATGGCGTGACATTATAACTGTAAAGCACTTTACTTATTATTTCCGTTGAAGTTAAGTTGAAATGTAAAGTTAATTTATCATCGTTTTAATTTGCAATTTCTTTGAAGTAAATAAATTTCCAAAAAGTAAATGCTTAAAAATATCAATAGTTTATCAGATATACAATTTATATGCTTTAAAATTGTTGTTGTATTGTTCGTTAGGCTTGTATACACATATACACTCAATACGATTTTGTGTTTGATTGATTGATATACAGTATAATAATTAAAAAAAAAATTTTAGTAATTTCGATAAAATACAGTAAGATATATTTTTAATATATTTATATACAATGTATATAGTATGTATATATATTTTATATATCTATATTGCAATAAACCAGGGTATGTACTGTATGTTTATATACTCGTGTTATTGTGTTTGTAAACTCAAATGAGCAAATGAAAAGAAGAATATGCCTAATAAATATGTATATAGGTTTTAAATTATTACTTAATAATATATATGAAACAAACAAACGTTAATAAGAATAACAAAAATTAACAGTACATATTTATATTTTTTTATTTATAGAAATCAACAATTGTTATAAAACTCCAAGACTCGATTTGATATGACAAATGATATTTTATTTATTTTCAACTAAATGTATTGTGAAATAATTTTATAAAAACTAATTTACGAAACGATATGTCAAACACACATACATATATAAAACTCTTACTTAAACGATTACGTGACTGTGGAAATTTGGCAAAACAACTTCACTTGAGGAAGTCTTTTTCTCAACTTTTATATTGAATTATTTTAATAATTTTTTATTTATCAATGAAAGTTTAAATTAAATGTACTGAAATGGGAAACATGCTAAAGTTAAATAAGTTGTTTGGTCAAAAATCATCAACAGACTGTACGATAATAGCATGTAAAGAAATTTATAGGTTAAAAAAATTGCGTAAAGCATTTAAAACAGTACTTTCCAATTATGGCACATACATATAAAGACCGGTAACTACTTAAGGGTTTCCAAAAGTTTTTGAAGAATCAATTTCCATATATATAATTGTTATTAAAGGCTGTGATATGAAGGTCGTAACATAAATTCTTTTCTTTTTTTAGGGTTTAAATAATAGGGGTATTCACACCAGCTTTATTAATTCGTTACGGTATTCGGTAGTTTTTGACGAGCATTTTGTTTTTGTAAAACTAACGGATTATCGTTCTACCGAGTAAGCTTGATAATTTTTTCTTTACTTGGTAACATCAAATCAGTTATTTGCTTTGCGTCGTAGCCTAAAAAGTTTATTTGATTCATTGCGAAAAAATACATTTTCTGCTCGCTACAAAATAGTTTTAGACATATTTTTTAAAAGTAAGTATTTAATAAATTTGAATTAGCTGTTTTGTAATAAAATATACCACACTACTGAGATAAGAGTTAAATGTTTTAACGAAGTATTAACTAACGAATTAACAGATTAACATATTCAGTCTTAATACCCCTAATATTTTTAGTTTTAAATGTTGAGAGTAAAGAAATGATGTAAATGCATTCTGTATGTAGGAAAATTGTTGTAGTTCTTTAAGTTTAAGATTAATAGCAGAAAGTAATTGGTCGATAACGTAACCGAGTGTTAATATACTTACATATAGTAAGTGGAACACATTTCTCTATATTTGAAAAACAATGTTTTAATTACTTTATTTGAACTAAACATAGTTTGTTAATTTCAATTCAAAACTCGCAAACAATGTACAGTTAGTTTTCTCCACTTTATTGAACCTTGATTAAAATATTTGGACTTTTATTTGAACTTCATAATAAAAGAAAACGTAAATATGTCTTTTAGGTTACTTCGCTTATTAGTTAAAACCATATGTCAACGAAGAGGAAAATATAATATTTTTCTACATTTTTATTTGCATGGCGCATTGAACTGCCAGTGTCAGCTCACTTAATTTTTTCCAAACGAATGGGCTCCATGATTCAATTACATAGGTTGTGTCGATAGCTCAAAAACAACAATTTTTCAAAAGTATGTGGATCCATAGTGTCAAAATCAGTCGATTTGCTTAGTATTGTCTTGATTTTATGATTCCAAAATACATCTTTCAAATATTTCAACCAATGAAAGTGCGTTTTTTGAGTGATAACACATATGTAGATTGTAAATCGCACAAAATCATTAAATTGTAAACAGAAAAATCATGAGAAACACAAAACAACAGTTTTTTTGACATTTTGAATATAAACACTATAAATTTGTGCTGAGCGTTTAAATGTCAAACTGACAACTTTTTGTTGTCAAACTATCAACTTGTAGAACACCAAAATACAGTTTGATTGATTATTTTTGTTCTATTGATATCAACTGTACAAAATACCATCTAAAATGTATTAATATAAGCACATATACATAATTTGCTTTTAATTTGATTTATTGTTCAATTAACCACTATTTCTTGTTACTAAATGGACATATACCTATTGTCCAGTCTTTGGCGTCCAATTCGGTGGAGAAGTCTGATAGTCTACAGAATTATCTTTGTAATTGAATGTTTACGAGTTTCTGAAGTTGAGTTATCGATTTCCTTACTTAAGTTAAAGTAGGGTAAACTTTAAAAGAAAGCATAACATATTGAATTTTTTTTAAATAAATTGCATACATACCTAGGTATGTAAAGTATATAGTTAAAATAAAAGTGATGGTTTAAAACGCATATTCATTGCAGAACTGTTTCTTTCCGTTTTCTTTCCAAATGTATATTTGATATAATTGCTATAAACGTATGCTTCGAATGCACTTTCAGAAGACTACGTACTGTATCTGCAATGTATATGTATATAAAATACAAGCTAAACACCTGCTCATACAACAGCTTTTTTATTTATTATTCTTATTATATTATATTTTTTATTTAATTGTAAATTTTAAATTTAAAAAAAAGTTAACTACCAGTGTTTTTATAATATATTTACTTCATATTTTTCGTACATATGGTAATGTCAATAGAGAAAATGTAAATAATTTTGAAAATAACAGGAGTTAATTACCCAGAATGCTACAACAAAACTTGCCTAAGTTGATGTTATACTATATGTATAACTTTTCTTCTAACTTTTGCTAAGTCAAACACTTCTTTCATTTCTGTTAATTCAAAAGTTGCACATACAAAACTAAATTACAAAGTGTACGTTGTTAACTTTAAATACTTTTAATTGAGAAAGTCGCTTTACATATGTATATTATGTTCATATTTCTGTTGATTGGGAAACACTGAGACAGTAATATAGTTCTTTTACAATGCATTTATGTGGGTATGAAACGGAAGAGAGTTATATAGATATTTTGCTTTTTTTGCCAGTCAGTTTGTAAAAACTACTTTTAATTTATTTAGTTTCCTTTTATTACTCAGTACTGTAGTTATTAAGGAAATTTGCAAACATTTGAAGAATCTTTAATGTATTGTAGTTACGTTTGTGCCTAAAACGTTTTTTTTTTTAATAATTTGAATTTTTTCAAATGTACATATGTACATATAAAGATACTATGTAAGATTGTATATGCTTGCTTGTATAAAAGTGTGTTGTACATTTATATTAAGGAGGCGAGTATATTTGATTACTAATTCAATGCAAAATAGACGCTTAAGCCAGAGTTTGTTTTTAGTTTTGAGTTTGTTATTTAATTTTTCGTCCAATTTTTTATTTTTCCTTTCATTTTTAATAATTATGTTTTCTTATACTGAACAGTTACTTTGCTTTATTGATTTCTGAACATCGAGTTAGCTTTCCTATTGTTTTTTTGAGATTGTGTTTGTATAATCTTTATTTTATGTCATAATTCGTTTATGTTCAGCACTTTCTTCTTCTCCATTTTTCTTCATAATGTTTTCCATTTATTTTTTTATCATAATATTTATTTCTTTTGTTTCGCGTCTCAATTATCATTTTCAACTTGTCGTTCCATTTATCGTTTTAATCTTTATGTCATCAACATCATCGTTCGGGCATCTTGTGGTGTTTGCATGCTTGAGTGCTGCATTGAATTTCACGCTTTGGCTCCGGGTATTTTCGACAATACTTTCGACAAATCAACGCCGGTGAGCGCATTGATGGACGGTGGCAATTGTGCTACTAGGCGTGTAACATCGTTGGTTATGTTATCATTGCCGCCAATGAGTACGATCTCATCGGTCTTGGCGAGTGGTGCAGCTACTTCGGCAGCGATCTAGTAAAAAACAAAAAAAATGTTAACTTTGGTTGCATAGAAGTTATAATACTCGTCAGAAATAAAAAAGTTTCCATACAAAAACTTGATTTTTGCCGTTCAGTTTGTATGGCTGCTACATGCTGTAGTTGTCCGATCTGAACAATTTCTGCGGAGATTGTAGCAATGCCTTTAATAATCTACGCCAAATTTTGTGACGATACCTTGTTAAATGGAAAAGCTTTCCATATAAGAATTTAATTTTGATCGTTCAATTTATATGGCAGATATATACGAGCACAAGCTATAGTAGACCGATCAAAACATTTTTTCAGATATTATACCGTTGGCTGAGACAATAGTCCGTGCCAAATTTTGTGAAGATTTTTATTAAATAAAAAAGTTTTCCATACAAGAATTTAATTTTGATTGTTCAATTTGTATGACAGATATATGCTATAGTGGTCCGATATCGGTGGTTCCGACAAATAAGCAGTTCCTTAGGGAGAAAAGGCCGAGTACAAAATCTCATTCAAAAGCGAACTAGTTTACGTAAATACAGACAGGCAGACGGTGTTCAGAGTAAAAATTTAAAATTTAATTTTAAGATGGAAAATTAGAGCTAGGAAAGTTACGAAAATTGAACAATATGTATATTTGTAAAACAAAACTCAGGTTTATAAACAATTTTGGCATATATCAGAATCTAGGTTGCGCTAAATTAAAAATTGAGAACCGCTGATGTTCTCTTTCGGACGCTAAAATATGGTTGCCGAAGAGTAAGTGAACAGTAATCACCGCATGTATTCTCTCTCTGCTTGAATATACCTTTTGATGGTTATAAACAAAGTAGATATGATCAGAGACCATCAGTAATAACGTTGATTCTAGATGTCAAAACTGGTTTATAACTAAAAGCGGGTAGGGTCACATATTTTGAATTGGCGCTAGTTTTAAGGATTTAATCGTTGCATTGTTTAAAAAAATTAGACCCAGTAGTTTAAACTATATTAAATATGTTTTAAATAAACATCAAATACCTTATTTAACTGAAGTATCTCAGTAGCATTTTTTTTAGAAAACTTCTTCACACAAAAACACCACTGAGAAAAATTTTGTTAAGAATACCTCGTCCAATACTGTTATTTGTTACCGGTAAGATGGTTATCAATGGTAGTAATTTACATCCTCAGATCGGGTCAACGAAAAAAGATCGTTGATGAGCAAATTTTACTCGGAACGTTCTAAAAATAAATTCATCCTTATTGTAAACTTCGTGTGAATAAATCATTTCCATGTATTTTTATTTTCACGCGAACAAAAATTCGAATCGAATTTCGTGTGAAGTGTTTGATTTTTGATTATGCTATTGAGAACTTCGGCAAAATGTCACATACATACATACATAAGTTTAGTTTGATTAAGTGGCATAAATTATGCAGATAACAATTTTCGGATATATTGGTATATTTAAATGAATAATGGATTTAAGAAAAACTTCTTGAATGCCCCCACATTGATTAGTAACTTTAAAATCGATGACTTTCCAAAGGCCACTGTTCAGTCAATACAATTATGGCAACGTTTAATCCCTTTGTATATCCCTAGTCAATTCTTGACTCTCGGGGAGAGACAAATCTGTCTAATAAGTTGCCTGTGCGATAATTTTTGCTTCCGTCTCATAGAAAAGCATTTTTTTACCTATAGATCACGTTCCTTTTGTTAAAACTTCAGTTTTTTTATTGACACGTTTTGTAGCCAAGGCAGAAACCAAAATGTGTATCATCTTTTATCTTTACGGCAATAAATCTATTAGCAGCATGTTATAAAGTATCAATCCAAAAATTTCTTTCGATAGTAAAACTAGCACAGAAGGATGAGTCCAGACAAATTTAAATAGATGGTATTTGGAACTAACTCTACAATATTACTCACCTTAGGCAGAGATTCGAGTACAATATTCATGATGGCAGCATCACCATACTGTTTGTAGACATGCGCCTTCATACGCATGCGCTCCGCCTCTGCTTTGCCGACAAGCTCAATGGCGTGAGCTTCGGCTGAACCTATTTTACGTATCTTTTCGGCATCTGCACGTGCCGCCTCGATTGTCTGACACCTGCGAAAGAAGCACGAAGAAAATTTCATTGAAAGAGTTACACTCGGATTAATATGACACTTACTGTTTGCCTTGCGCAATCGTCTGCACACGATGTGACTCCGCTTCGGCTGGCAGTTTAACGGTACCCATTAGTTCGCGCTCTTTGCGCTGCACTTCTTGCGCTTCAATTTCGATTTGCTTGCGACGTTCGACAACTTCGATTTGTATTTCTTCGTTACGTATTCTCTGTCGTATCTTTGCGGCTTGCAATTCGTAGGCCAATTGTGATTCAGCTTTCGCTGTATTGATCTCCTGATCAAAGTTGGCTTTTTGCAACTTATACATACGCGAATTATCCTCGATCTTGGTGTCCGTGGAATATTTCACGTCCATGGCGCTCTTTTCACATTCAGCTTCGCGTATGCCGGCATCACGATTGGCTTCGGCCACACCCGCATCAGCGTCACGTTTTACGCTCGCCGTTTGCGCCTTGCCCAGCGATGCCAAATATTGCACATCATCGTATACGTCCTTGATGGTGAATGAGAGTATTTCAATGCCCATGCGACCGACATCAGGTGCGGCTACCTCGCGTACCAGCGCAGCGAATTGGTCGCGATCTTTGTAAACCTCTTCTACTGTAAGCGTTCCTGTAATTGTAAAAGAAAAATTCAAATTGTTAATAAAAATTTTAAAGAAAGCAGATATTCTGAAATTTCCGGTCGACAGTATTCTTTTTCACTAGAAATCAGTAAAATACTTGTAGTTAATTCTGAAATATTTATGAATAAAATATGAGGTGTGTTCAAAAAACTAAATTTTCGAGGATTTGGAGAGTCCAATTGTAATATTTTTTATTATGTTGATATAGATATCCCTGGAATACGATATTATTTTTAACTGTATTCATTGCTTACTTTAACTGTAGCAGCCGCTGAGGTTAGACGTGTTTTTATGATTGATTGATGATATGATAGCGATTTTCGTTTGTTAAGAGGGTTAAGAGTCTAGAGTCGCAATTAGGCATGAGTTATTGTCTAAGGCAATTAGGCAATCTCCGAAGAAATTGTATACATCGGATGACTATAGCATATAGCTGCCATATGAATTGAACGATCGGAATCAAGTTCTTGTAAGGACCCTTTGTATTTTGTGAAGGGTATAATAGCTTCGGTGCAACCGGAGTTAACGTTTTTTCTTGTTTATTAGTTATTTATTAATATTAAAAGAATACAGGAAAAAACAAAAAAATAACAAGTAAGGGAGAGCTACGTTCGAGTGTAACCGAACATTTCAAACTCTGGCAACCTGCCAGGATCGAAGCTTGTGAAATACCTTATGCACAACGATACATTATTAGAAAAACATACTCTTTCAATTTCATTAAGATAACTCACATATTGACGTATACGTGCGTTATAAAGACAGGAAGTTCGATAGACAGCCGGTAAATGCAGGCTAAGGAATTATTGCCCGATTTAACCTATTTTTGACGTACAGACATACATTCTTCCGAATTTCTAAAATATATCTCACAGATTGATCGATATTTTGAATAAAATGTTCGCAATAAGAACTGGGTGGGGTCCACCTATTCGGTATGCGATGTGAGCAATTTTTGGTCATAAGGTGGCACATCTCAAAGGCACTATTTGTGCAAAATTTTTCTGGATCCATTGATTGGTTCTTGATTTGTATACTGGAAAGTGAAAGAATCGAATGGAATTTAAAATTGAGTTATATGAAAAGTAGGCGTGGTTTTTGTCTGATATTGGCAATTTTTGCACTGTAATGTAGAAATATCAAAATAATGTTACGTACGAATTTGGTTTAAATCGGTAGAGTAGGTCCCGGGATACGTGATATCACCTAAATATCAGCGGTGCCACGCCACGCCCTCTCATACCATTTCGAGTGTAAACTTTTTTGTCTTATTGTGGAACTTAGTTATGGAAATTTATTGTTCTTCGATAAATGGTGTTTTGTGTGCGTGGCAATGGTCTGATTCCGCCTATCTGCTATATATATATAACTCAAATTTTACTCAAGTTATCGCTTGCAGTGACGGACAGTCACACGGAGTTTAACTCGTCTCGTCATCCTGATAATTTATACAAGTATATAGGTTGGTTTCAAAATTTCCGCGCTCGAAATGAAAAAATTGTGTTTTTGGTACGAAATATATTTTTTTATTCAATATAATCTCCATAAACTTCAATACACCTATTCCAATGATCAAGTAATTCATACTTTTATTTGTTGAATTTTGTCACTGTTAAAACACCTTTGTGAGCAGGTACACCTTTGTTTTTTGTGCTGCAAACCAGGTCTTTTCTCACGAATTTTTTCATCGTGCTGATTCAAAAAGCTGCAATAATATTCAGAGTTGATAATTTTACGTTTCTGCAGATAATCAATCAACATCCCAAAAAACGAATGTCATAACCTTCTTTGCTGATCATTGTGACTTCATCTGATTTGGAGCGGAACAACTGAGCTGAGAAATTAATTTTCGATCCTGTTTTTGTTGAATTGTTGACGTGTGCAGCATTAACTTTCCAAACATCTTTTTTATATGTAATTCTCCATGTACAATATGAAATCCTCGTTCATCTGAGGTGCCTATGGCATTAGCAATTTCCCGCTTAGTTAAACTTGGATCTTCGTCGGTTTGGATCTTGGATCGGTTTTTGGTCGTCCTTCGGGTGGACCGTCTTATATATATAAGCCTAGGATGACCACGTTTAAATTCACCAGCTCAAAATTCCACGGTGCGTTTTGAAGGTGAGATTTCCTTATGCACTTTCAACAATTGTTTATAAATTTCCTTTGCTTTTAAACCTTTCAAAACCAAGAATCTAATCACTACGCGATATTAAATTTTTCCCATTTTAAAAAAATATTCTGACACGTCAACTTCAAATAGCTTGTAAACAAAGAATTAATTGACAGAATGACTTGTAACTTGGAATGTGTTCTCACGACAGATGTATCAACTTGAGAAAAAATAGTAGTAGTACTAATTCTTTCTGAAAATAGAAACTTTTCAACCAACCTATCTATCTATCTCGATTAGTTTTAGGTGATAAAAACAACCGTTTGGTGAAAAAACTATTATACACTGTAGCAACATGTTGAAAGGGTATAAAAAGAGTTAAAAATTTCAAAAAATTAGCAGCTGATAAAGTGGGGGGTCTCAAAAAATTGGCACGTATTCAACTCACCTAGCAATCTAAAACAAAAAATTATTAATCTAAAAATATCTGGAACTACGGAAAAGTTGAGAAAATTTTATCAATAAATAGCGACTGCTTGAAAAAAAAAACAGAAACCTCTTTTTTTGACAGTTTCGAATTTTTTAAAAACAGTAAAAATTTAAATTTGGGAATATGGATAATTCCAGATATAGGCAAGTCTGTAAAGAATACTCTCTAAAAATTTTTGGTAAATCAGTCCAGTAAAACCTGAAAAACAGGGGATATCGTTTTGATAAAAATAGTTTCGAGAAAAACGCGTTTAAAGTTTCAGTTCCGGCCGAACCAGTTTGGATGCCGGAAAATACCTACATATATCTCCGAAAATAATTTGAATTTTGAAAAATCCTCTTGTAGACATATTCTTGAATGATCATAACAAATACACAAAAAATCGATTTTTTTTTATTTATTGACTAGAATACTCCCCGTCAGCGCATCGCTGAAAGAGTTAAAGGCTATCTCAAAAATCGAGTGTCTCGACGATTGAAAGAAGAGCTGGTATAAGTGCATAATATAGAATGGCGACTACCAGCGCTTAGAAGGCACAAAACTAATGTAAATAAATTAATAAATTATTTTTTATTAAACGAAAAGTTCCGTTATTTTTTGAACACCTCGTATCATTGAAGCAACTCTTTGAAAACTCTAAACAAAAGAAATTCTAACTTAATTTGTTTCTACTTGTATTATATCAAAAACAAACGTAACAAAATATGAATGTACATATTATTTGTTTAATTTTTCATCTCGCATTTTTCTGACATCAGTTTCGCAAACATTACTACAACTTTCAAAAACTTAAAATGTGCACAAATATAGGTGTTCGAAAAAAAAGTATTAAATTTGAGAGAGGTATCAAAGTAAATTCAAATCATTTACATATGTTCAGCATACTTTTACAAATTACCATTGACTTACACCCGATTATTTACTTAAAATCGTGGAGATTGAAATCAAAAATTGAACATGTTCATTGAGCATCTAAGCCATTGGACTCCGTAATTTTTTAGCGGACACAGGTTAATGGATGATGTTGATATGAAAAACAAAGCAGAAAACGAACGTTCACGGCGTGACGATATAAGGTCACATATGATAAAAAAGAAGTGGCGCCAAACAAGATTGAAAGCAAGGTCTTCGTAAGACACAATTTTCGAAAATATTTTAAAACACTAAACGGCTAAAATGAGCAAGCTAAAATGTTGCTCATTACATTAGTTTATCTGACCCCCAAAAATATATTCCTATTCACTAACTGCTTGTCCATATTTATGTATGCTACTTATTGCTTTGTGTATCAATTGAATGTATTTATGCTTCTCTCACTAACGGAAGATCGCTTCAGTATTCATATTGTTCTTTGGCGCTTTGTTGTACCAGTAATGAAGTAAATGATCATTATAGAACGGTTGGTGGCATCGATCGATAGGCCGTACATCTCAGCGTGTGTAACTTTTTAAATAAAAAAACGGATTGAGTGCGTTTAATGTAACGGTTTTCAGCGACAAGTTCTCAAAGACTGAATATTTTAGTGCATTTGATTGTTAAAAGTTCTGAATGAATCGTAAAAACATATTTCTTTACAATCAGCTTATTCAATGGCTTTTAAAATTTACTTTTTATGTGCAGTAACGGACTGGCTTTATTATACGGTAAAATTCACTTTCAGCACCTGTGTATAAATAGTGAACGAATGTAGTTTGTCTCTCATAGTCAACTGGAACTTTATCGTGATAACATCTCTTTTGTAATTTTATTTGGAAAAAATATAAAGTCTCGAATGAAGTGCAGTGGCGTTTTGGCTACAATTTTCAGTACGTGACATCTTAAAAACAAAACTAACATCTTTTGTTGATTATCAAATTCGTTGCAGTCTCCGTGTGGTCGGGCACTAGAGCATCGCTGATGAAATGTGCCTGTGAACCCGGAGCGCCAGGACCAATGGGTCCGCCTGGTCCCAGAGGAGAGCCTGGCTACGCTTTGCCATCATATTATACCCATGCACGCGGCCCTCCTGGACCGCCAGGACCACCTGGCATATGCGGCTGTCCTTTTTTCCCACAAAATTTTGGTGGAGGTTTCGGTTTTGTTGGAGCAGGTGGTGGAGGAAGCGGAGGAGGTGGCGGTGGCGGTGGTGGTGGTGTTCTTGGTAATGTTACCGGAGGAGTTGGAGGTGGAACCGGCGCAGGTATAGGAGGAGGTGGTGGCGGTGGAGGAGCGTTTGGAGGAGCGTTTGGAGGAGGCGGTAAATAATTATTTTAGCGTTTGCTATTTATTCAACCATTAACTTTATATTCGAATCAGGTGGCGGCGGCGGAGGTTTTCGCATTTTTCAGGGCGATTTACAAGATCTGCAAGGGTTAGTGGCGGAAAATCTGATTTTGGTGACTACA